ATTCCGATTCGTACAGAGCTCTCTCTCTCCCTCTCTCAGTTTAATTTGAGAGCAGTTTCCCATCTAAAAAGCTCAATTTTCTGCATTTTTCACTTCCTTATTACCCAACAGTCTACCGTTGTGTACAGCACTGTCGGCCACTGTTTAGGTTTTTTTTGTTTGGTTTGGTTTGGGTTTTTTTTTATGACTTCCGACAAGAAAGCCTCATTTCTGCTGTTCAAAACCTGTGTAACTTTGCTCTGCTTCACTTCAGCAGCATCAGGTTCATATACTGAGTCATGGTTTTCTTCCGTTTTTGTTCTACTGGAGAATATTTTCAAAGTTGTCTGCTATAAAAAGTCAGGCCAAGAAAATCTCCTTCATGTTCTTCTGTGTTTTTTCCTCACTTACTTTGACACAAACGCATCTGCTGTGATGCTCACACCTCTGATGAAGTGTCAGTACTGATAAATGATCAGAATTATAATATTTCTGACTGTTTGAGGCAAAATTTCCCGATTTAAATTGAATCGAAATTGTGGCTCGAATCAGTTTGGGACCTTGCGAATCGGAATCAAATAAATTCTAAAAATCAGTGACGATATTGTATTCTACTGATGTGTGTAAACATGGCTAATCTCTCTTTCTCTTTGCTCTGCAGGAGTTTGTGAAGTTCTTTAAGACGACGCTAGATCGTAAAGTGTGCTGGGGAGACCGGCTTGAGTTTATTAACGGCTGGTATATCCTCCTCATCATCAGTGACATCTTCACAATCACTGGCAGTTTCATCAAAATCGGCATCGAGACAAAGGTCTAATATCAGCTTTAGTTTTGGGGGTTTTTGTTTTAGCGTTGACACACATTAACATGTACATGTAGTCTTAGCTTTTTTTAAAAGCCGATTCCTTTGGGTTTTTCCCAACAGAATATATCCTCCTATGACCTCTGTGCCATCCTTTTGGGAACCTCCACTCTCTTAGTGTGGGTGGGAGTCATTCGCTACCTCACATTCTTCCAGAAGTACAATGTAAGTCGCAGATGTGCTGGTGCACAGCTTCTGATAACATTGTTACATGCTGCTGATTTAATAACTTGTGAGAAAGTGAGAAGTTCCTCCTGTGGGTTGATGTAATGTAGAAGGCCATTTAATTTAGTGTCTCTGGCCTCTCTCACACTGTAATTTGATCTGTGTTGTGTTTCTGCACCTCCCTGCTGCAGATCCTTATCGTGACACTTCGAGCAGCTTTCCCCAATGTTATTCGCTTCTGCTGCTGTGTGGCTGCCATCTATCTGGGCTACTGCTTCTGTGGCTGGATCGTCCTGGGACCATACCATGTCAAGGTGAATTAAATGTGGGAAAAACTCAATGTCAAAAACTTGTTTCCACTCCTTGGAATTTTAAGTTTTCCTTTCGAAGTTTTAGTTCACTTGCACCGACCAGGGATAACATTATGACCACTCACAGGTGACGTGAATAACTGATAGTGGGTGGGATATGAATGTTGATGCAGTAGAAGCAGGAAAAATGGCAAACTGTAATGAAAGAAGGTGTCTTGGTCTCGTGAATGACATCTTTTTTTTCACATCTAGTTGATGGCCGGGTGTGTGTGCGTCACTTACCTGGGGAACACCTGGCACCATGATTTAAATGTGCCAGGTGTTTGCCTTTGCCTTATTCTCACTATGAGAATAAGGCAAGGCTGACGGAGGCAGTGTGATGTTTGGGCAATGTTCTGCTGGGAAACCTTGGGTGGTGCCACAAAGCAAACGGGGTTCAGGAATGAGTTTGAGGTGCTGGCTTGGCCTCCAAATTCCCCCTATCTCAACCCAGTCCAGCATCTGTGGGATTTGCTGGAAAAACAAGTCTGACCTATGGAAGCTCCGCCTCAAAACTTAAAGGATCTGCTGCTAACAGCTTGGTGCCAGATTCAAGCGCACATGTGCTGGGGTCTGGTGGTGTCTTACCAGGTCAGGGCTGTTTTGGCAGCAAAAAGGAGAACAGCACAATCTTAGGCAGGGGGTCATGACGTTATGCCTGATCGGTGTATATGAGTAAATGTGAACACACAAAACGTGCCTATTTTAATTTATTTTTAGTAGGCCACACAAATGCCATTCAGCAATAATATCTAAGTTGTGTAACAGAGAAGATAATTAAACAGTTTTGGACTTCCTTCTTTCTTTCGGACATTTCTCCGTCCACTGAGTAAATCAGTGGTACAGAAACATGAACTACAGTTTATTCTGACTTTTAAACTGCTTTCAAAAACTTGACCTTTTCTCTTAACTTTGATAATTAAAATACCTTTTTTTTTTATATATTTACAGTTCCGCTCTCTGTCCATGGTGTCCGAGTGTCTGTTCTCCCTCATTAACGGCGACGACATGTTCGTGACGTTCGCAGAGATGCAGGAGACCAGTCCTCTAGTGTGGCTGTTTAGCCAGGTTTACCTGTACACCTTCATCTCCCTCTTCATCTACATGGTGCTGTCTCTGTTCATCGCTCTCATCACAGGAGCGTACGAGACCATCAAGGTAGGAAATCGCTGCCTATAAAAAGGATCAGTTTATTTACAATGTGTAGAATCACTCAGTCTGCATTACAAAGAACTCACCGTAGCATCCAAACTGTTGCTTCTGTATTTACTGTGGACTACAAATAAAGAGCAGAAAAGTAACAGTAGTGTCTTTTTTTTTGTTGTTGTTGTTGTTGATTTCCACAGCATCAAACCCAAGAACCAATCCACATAACAGATCTGCACGCCTTCATAGCAGAGTGCACAGATGCACCGAATTCTGGGAAGTTCAGAGGTTTGGAGACTTCACCTTGCTCCTTCTTCTGCTGCTGTGACAGGTGAGTGAGTCTCCTGTGACCCCCCTGAAAGCTTAAACATATACATTAAATTAACATAATGCTACATTTCTAAAGACCAAAGCAGATAAATGCGACAGCGGGCTTTATTAAACAACCACAAAACCTGCGAAGTCTGACTCCCTAATTTAAGCTGACAGCACAAAAATATCAACCTCACAATTATGTCGCAAAGTTAGTTGATTACATTTTTGGCTGCTGATGAGGAGAAAAAGAGAGAGAAAGACTATATTTCTCTACCATTTATACTGGTGTTAATTATCAGGCTCTGACAAAGCACACTGGAAGGAAATCAGGTCATTTTCTCTTTCCTCACTTTTATACATCCTTTGTCCTATTTACATCTAGTTCTCCTGGTATCCTGTTCTCATGTCTTAGTCTTTCCAAACACATATTCAAATCAATTTTGTTCATATAGCACCAAATTTACTCAACAGTCACCTCAAGGTGCTTTAATTGGTAAGATAAAGACACTAAAATAATACAGAGAAAACCCCGACAACCAGATGACCCCCCCCCCCCCATGAGCAAGCACTTTGGCGACAGTGGGAAGGAAAAATCCCTTTTAAGAGGAAGAAACCTTCAGTAGAACCATGCAATGTGAACAGAGAGAGGAGGTGAGGTAATCAAAGTGCAAACAGTAGTTACTTTGTTAAATCCCAACTACTGTTTCTTTATGATCTTAGTCCCAGGGATGGGGGTTTAAATGTTTAAGAGTCCTCCTCCTGATATGTGTGTGTTTCAGGTTTGTGCTGTGCCTCCTTTTATAGATGAACACTTCCACAACGAATAAACTTTTGCTTCATAGGTTATAGCTCAGGAACAAGATAAGAAGGCACAAATTAGAGACATAAAAAAGCCTGAACACATATTTAACATTAAAAGAAATGCTTAGTTTGGCCAGCAGAGGGAGCATATTTAGGTCCTTAAAATCCTTAAAATGATCAGCACTGAAAAAGACGTAAAGTTGCATACATGATTATGAACACACCAATATTTTATCCTTAATTTTAAAAACATAATACAGTTTTCAGCTCGATTTTTTTTTTAATAACATAGTGCAGTGGTTTACCTAATCACCTAACACGCAACCTAACCCGGTTCAGGTTCAGTCCTGGGAAGAGACACGGATGCCTTTGGAGTTTTTGGGAATGACAACCACTGTAAAAATAAATATTTAAACCAAAAATCTGCTAAATCAAACATTCCTGCTGTGGTGAAAGTTGCTTTCTTACAATACTCTACATCATATCACGTCAAAAATGCGTCCGTGAATATCGTGTTGTTTTTGTTAAAATTGTTAAAATATGTCCCGTAAATATTACCATAAGAAACTGTAATTACAGAGATAATAATATTAAACATCCTAACTGTAGTAAATCATCAAACCTTATTTTCCCCTCAGAACAACCACGTATGAAGATGTCCTGCTGGTGAACTGAAATCAACCTCACCAATCTCTGAAACCTCACTAGCCTCCCCTGCTGACCAGTGGGGCACACTGCATCCACCCAACACCCGGTGTCTCCGTGTATCTGGGTCAAACCAAACGACTGTTCCAAAGTGGGAGTTGCGATTGGCTGGAACTGCGCTCTGCAGAGGAAACGTGGAACAGATGAAGAGCTGGGCCTTTTCCTCTGTATGAACAGCAGCATCGAAGAAGGCTATTGCACAGACATTTCTCTTGGTTCTAGTGTGTTTTTTTTAAACATTATTCAGTATTTTTTAATATATCTGGTGTATTTTATGCTCACCCAGACTAGGAACTCTTTGGTGCTGTCTATGTTTTGTTTTTTGTTTGTTTTACTTTTGAAGTATTTCAAATCGGTTGGCTCCTGAGGAGGAGACTCTTAAAATTAGATATTTATATCATATTCAGCAACATTTTATTGTACAGAACTCGTTTTAAAAATTTAAATAATCTAATATCTCTTAAATTAGCCAAAGCTAATTTGCTAGCTGGAGAATCATGACATGACATTTAAACAGAGCAGGACAAAAAAATCCCCCATGTGATTGTTTTTACAGAGTTCCAAAACATATCAGGAAACGCAGATGGGCGTACGGCGTGGAATTGATTCATTTTCTTTGTGAGCTGCACATTTATTATAAAGTTTCGACCAGTGTCATTAGCGGCGGCTGTGCTGCATCATGTTGCCTTCAAATGTAGATCCCAGTTTATTTCATTTTTATTGCTTCGTTTTCTTTCAGTAATGATCAGGGTAATGGGACGCAACCGTTCACTAACAAAGCACTTAGCTTTTGCCTGACCTTGGCTGCAGTTTCTTCTTCAGACCCACATTTTTTTAATGAAGCTGAAGTATTAAAAAGAAACTCGGTCTATCAAAAGTGCTGCACCCCTGTTTGTAGACTGCGTTGATGACCATTAGCAAACTGGATCTGACTTATTTTAAGCACAATAAGTAGTTCTAAGTAAAGCAGAGTCTGGTTTGGGAGAGATGACAAGAAAGAAAACAACAGATTGTCCTGTTTTAGTGGCTTGTTCTGCTTTTTTTTTGTTGTTTGTTGCCTTCATAATGATCTCTCTAACTGCTGCCTACTGACTTGATCTTTAGTAGAAACTTGAATAATGTATGTTTGTTTGTCTTTTTATCGCAAAAAAACGCACAATAGTTTAAGGAGTTTTTAAGTCTGGACTCCAAATACCATTTAGAGAGAGGAGCTATGGGTCAGGGAGGAGTAGGTAAATGAAGTATAAGATGTTTTTTTCAGCCTTTTCATTTTCTGCCTGAAACACCAGCAGAGTAAATTGTAAGCTAAATATACAGATGGACTTTGGATTTCCATGGACAACATGTCTAAATTATAGATAACTTTAAATGTTGCATCTTGTGTTTCCCTGGAGTTTTTTTTTATCTTATTTTTGTTTTGTGTTGTTGTGTTTGTTTTTTATGAATTACCTGCACTTGAACTGTACTTGTGAGGGACAACACGTAGTGTGACCTGTCATACTTGTCAAACTACTGATTAAATTTTCCTGGTCTGATCTAAGTCAACAAGCTGTTTCCTGCTGTTCCACCTAACCATCAGCAGAGGGAGGAAGTAGTTCATGTGTCGGGATGGTGATTCACGCAACCTTGCATGATCGTGTGTGTGTGTGTGTGTGTGTGTGTGTGGACATTTTTACCAAGATTACTCAAAAGCTACACTTAGTGTGTATTTAATGACAATAAGATTGAAATCTAAGTGTACAAGGGATAAAATAACATTCCAACTGGTACAACACAGGATTTAAAAAAACAAACAAAAAAAGAACTATATTTAAATGTATAGCAGCAAAAATACTACAAAGTGCAATAATAAAAATGACCTGTGGAGTTGTGGCGTGTCTTCATTTTGATTTCAGAAGTCTGATGACCCTGGGGGAAAGCTATTGCAGAAGCTGGTGGGAACGTCTGTGATGGAGGGTGTGAGAAGTCACTGATAATGGTTCTGGCTCTTCGGTCCAACTTCCTGAATGGAGAAGTCCTAGTGGTTTTCTCCTCTATCCAAAATTATTGATGGATTTGTATGAACAATTTACTGATCCAAATTTGGAACTTAATGGTTCTGTCTTCAAAAATAGACTGCATTGCCTCACAGAAACAAAGTCTGGGGTTAAAATCCACCAGCTGGCTGCAAACGTCCTATGTGGAGTTTGCATGTTCTGTCCAGGTTCTAAAGACTCGTGTTTTAGGTTGATTGGTGACTTTAAATTAGCTTTCGAGTAACTAATCAATGGTTTCATGTCTGTGTGTTAGCCCCGTGATAGACTGCAAGCAAGCAATTTATTTATATAGCACTTTCAGATCAGCCCCCAGCACAAAGTGCTGTACACTTGACATGCCAGAAATGATACATTGAACAAGTTAAAAAAATATATAAATAATATAAAATAAAGAAAAAATATTTTAAAAAATAAGATGATAATTAAAATGACATTTAAAATAATAAAATTGGCACAAATAGCAAAAACAATAATAGTATAAAATGATCATTAAAATTACATTTAAAACAATAAAGTCAGGTTCAGACTATGTCATAAGCCAAGGAGTAAAAATGGGTTTTAATGATCTGTCCAAGGGGTACACTGGCTCTCACCCTATGACAGCCTATCATATGGGGATAGGCTCCACCCTTACTGTGACCCTGAATTCGATAAGTGGAAGAAAATGAAAAGATGGGTAATTCTTAAAAAAGATCTTCCAGAGAGGGTAGATTGCAATTCTTCTGTTAGAGAACACATGAGCTCATTTCCTGGTTGCTGAGCGTCCTAAGCAAGCTTTGGCAGCAGCTCATGTAGCCCATCTTTGCCTTCCACCCACTTAACCTAATATCATCATGCATTATGTAGCCAACCGCTCTGATGGTGCCTCGTGTTGGAGTGTGTAAGGCAGAAGGAAAGGTCCACAGTGTAATGTCTCTCATAAACATGGCCCATCCATCTTGTTGGATTAGAGGCTGTCACTATTTTCTTCCACTTGATGTGTGTGAATGTGTAGGACTACTTCACTCAGCACCTTTGATGTTCAGTGAAAGCCCAGAGGGAAAATCGTCTTTCCAAAAGCTTCTAATGGTCTCAGTTGTAGCAGTATGCTATTGTCAGGTGTGGTCCTTTTGTTGATCCCAGTTTGATGCCGCTTGTTCATTTGTGACTCGTCGTTTGAACTTCACAGGCTTTTAAATTAACAAAGCATCCCAGATCAAAAACGCAGGCCTGCAGCAGGAGCAGTGGCAGCGGCGAGGACCGTCTCCTTCCCCCTCATCTTACGCGCCGTGTCACTCAATCTGTATCAGCGCCTGAGTTCCGTTTGGTGTGTCAGCGTGTGTGTCTCTGTGTGTGGGGGAGCTTTGTTTTGTGTGTGCAGCTGTCCTTACTGTGAGGTGTTTGGGCAGATGGGTGAGTGAAGACCACAGCAAAGAAGCAGATTTAAAAACAAGACAGTGTGTACATAAAAGCCTTTCAAATTCTCAGTCTATCCTAATTCTGTTAAGGATTTTTTATTTTTTTTTAACCGCTGAGCCACACCCTTGTGTAACAACATTATGATCAATCTGAAATGGATGAGCAGGATGTGTGGGGATAACAGCTTTTTTTAAGTCCTGTGAAATAATGATGGATTCCATTAGTTTTCAGTTCATGCAACTAAAAGATGGAGACTAAAAATCGTTTCGGTTTTTAGGTTTCAGTTTGCATAAAAAAAACAGGAAGTGAATAAATCTCCTTAACGCTTTCCTCCATAAACACAACATTGAACGACCTCTCCCATGGCAAGTTTTGACACCTCAGTACAGATCAGTAAAGATTTGGTTTGATGACCATTAAAATAGTTTCCAAGGGCAGCTGCACAGAGAGAGATCACCTTTCCTAACCTCTGATGCATACCCAGTCGTTTTGTGTTATAATGAGGCAGAAATTATGACAGAAAGCACTCAGTTTAGAAAAGAACTTCAAGGGTTACTTCTAGTAGGCTTTCAGAGGAGGCAACGAGTTAAAATAAGAATTAGTTAAACTTTTGGAGGAGCTTTGGGTTTTCCCCCCTCGCTCTGGCGCAGGGCCCCTTCCCGACTGGAAAGGATGACAGGCAGCTGATGAAACAACTGCCAGAGTCCTGAAAGGAGCAGGGATGGAGAGACACATGATTCACACACACTCTCTCTCTCTGTTTCTCAGTCTCCATCGAAGTGTAGTGAGAACTTGTACACCAGCGAGTCCAAGGCTGAGGATTTTTTTTGCTAAACCTTCATTCTTCCTCTTCACTCAGATTTCTCTCTTTACCCACGGCCTCTCTTTTTAAATAACCTCATTCTTTCTCCGTGCTCATAAGAGAAAACAACAGCTGATGTCAGCTGTCCAAACCCATTTTGCTCGTCTTTGTATCCTTCGGTCTTTTCAGTGTTTCACTGAGCCTGCAGCTGCAGCTCAAAGTCTCATTGTGATAAGAAAATAAAAGCACGCGTCTAAAACCTATTGTGGGCTCGTACCATAGGGCGGTGGACACTGTACCAAAGTGTGAGCACAGATAATTAACAATTTCAATCTCTTATTCGCTTTCTTTGGATATAACTATCCAAACCTGTTGTGCAGCTCTTGCAGTTCTTTGTCAGGAATTTTGGTTTTAAGTACAGATCGCAAACATGTGGGTGAAGGAATCTGAGGCAGAGAGTTTCAGTGGCGTTGTCCCCGCGGAGAAGCAGAGATTCTTGGAAAACTCCTGGTTGAATAAATCACCGCTGGCTCCTAATGAACTGTAGCTTGAATTTAAAAGGACAAAAACAACTCGTATTCTTCTTCTCCTTCTTTAAGCTGCTCCCATAGTAACAACAGCGGCTCGTCTCCTTCCTTCTCACCCTATCCCCACATCCTTCTCTGTCACATCGATGTCCTCTTCCCCTAAATCCTTGAATCTTCCCTGAGGTTTTCCTCTTTTCCTCCTGCTTTCCAGCTCCATGTTCAACATCCTTTCTCCAGTATATCCGCTTTCCCTCTTCTGTACATGTCCAAAGCGCTCGACCTGAGCTGTCCCTCTGATCTACTCATTTCTAATCCTGTCCATCCTGCTCACTCCCAGTTACTCCCATCTTTGTGTCAGGACTACCATCTTCAAACCGTACTTCATAGCAGGTCTCGATATCATCTTGTAAACCTTCCCTTTCACTCTTGCTGCTATTCTTCAGCCAGAAGCACTCCTGACACAAATTTTCACCCGATCCAACCTGCCTGCACTCTGTTCTTCACCTATCTCGTGCAATAATAGGGTGAAAATTACACAAAAATGTAAGCAAAATCAACAAGAGAATAGGAAAAAGTAAAGTAAAAGATTAATATTTCACAGAGGAGCTTCATGAGTAAAAATCTGGGGGTAAAAGATTTTCTCTATCCACAGTTGTGGGAAAAGATGATAAAACAAGGTAGAGGCATGCTGTGCATAAGGCCTATAAGAGGAGTTTAATCTGATATGGTTCCTGTTGTTTACTCTGTGCAGCAGCAGGATTAGGTCGTATCTACAAACTGGAGATACTCCATCTTGTTATCCTGGCTTAGGGAGGATGAAATTGGAAAAAGGACAAGGTTATCTCAGCTTGGTCAGAGCATGTGCTTGTGTTTTGAAAGATGTGTGTGTCTGCAGGACAAAGCAATGCTATTGAAGCCACAAATTTGCAGGGGCTAAATTCTAGAGGTGGGCAGATTGATCCAAATATTGACAGTATCAATACCAACACTGGTATTGGTAGTGGATGATACTAGAGTGAAAGGATCGATACTTTGTTTCTCTCCTCTAAGTTCCGTATATAGCCTACTGAATGGTGTTATTTATTAACAATGAAAAAATGTATCTCAAACATGAATATATTTTATTTATCCCTATAGGACATTTAAAAAGAGGTTGACATAAAGTCCTTTAAAAACAGGCACATTTAAATTCCAGCCCACCCCCCTCAAAAAAACAAAAACAACCCTGAAAAGTGTGTGTGTGTGTGTGTGTGTGTGTGTGTGTGTGTGTGTGTGTGTGTGTGTGTGTGTGTAGCCTTAAAACGTGTTCACAACTTGCCAGTTGATTATGACTCATGTCATATGTCATGACACACTGTTATGTACTGGCCCTGTATTTATTTGATATCGGATCGATACCAAAATTTGTAGCATCGCACAGCACTACTGAATTCCTCCCGGACCACCTTGATTTCCAATTTTAAAGTCACGCGCTCACACAGGGACACGGTTTGACTACCACGTCACTCCTGCTTTGCATAACCGCCGGGGCTCGCGCCTTTGATTGGGCCGGCGGTGAGATTTAATCTGCGTTTTCTTTTATGACCGCCACGCTTCGCCTTCAGTCTGCAGCCGGACTCCTCCGCCACTCCTCCCCTTCGGGTCCGTCCTTCATTAAGGGGAGCAGCCCGTCGCCTCCTGCCGCTGCTCAAACGTGAAGGGAAGGACACGAGGAGGGACGCCCGCCACTGAACGCGCGGCTCTATTGTTAGTTCAGTAAAATATACGGCTTCGCCTG